AATATAGATCAGTGTTAGTCTATTTGCCTCAAACATACAAGGCTCTATAGGTTAAATTACCAATGCTGCTAAATACAATCAACCAACTGATCAATCAATCCTCCAACTACTAGGAAAGACCAAAGTCAAACCTCTTCCAATACCTATGATACCTGTTTTTTCAATAAGACATTAAGATTAGTCTCAGGATTTGGGTGTACTGATGGATGCCTTTAATCCCAGTACTTTGAAGGCAGAAGTAGGTGGATCTTTGAGTTCAAGGCCAGTCAGTTCTACAGTGAGAGCCTGTCTGGAGAAAAATTAATCAACCAGTCAAACAATCTATGGAGTAAATACTAAAAGTTTCAATCAAACATGTAGATCTCATGGAAGCAGAGAGAATAGTGGTCACTAGAGGTGGGGAAGAACAGGGAGAGCAGTATTAGGAGGTTTGAAAATAGACAGGAACAATGTGTTCCAGTGTTTTATAGTACAATAGGGTGACTGTGGCTTGTTATAATTTATTGCATTTTTTTATGAATGTTTAAGTGGTGTGGTCCTTCTGTCTATATGTTGCTTGTATTGGCTGATAAATAAAGAAACGGGCTTGGCTTGATAGGGCAGAACTTAGTTAGGTGGGGGGAAACTTAACTGAATCCTGGGAGAAAGAAGGCAGAGTCAGGGAGAAGCCATGTAGCCCCACCAGAGACAGATGCTGGAAGTCTACCCAGTAAGTCACAGCCACATGGTGATATACAGATTAATAGAAATGGATTAAATTAATATGTAAGAGCTAGCTGATAAGAAGTTAGATCTAATAAGCCAAGCAGTGACTTAATTAATAGTTTCTGTGTGTGGTATTTCAGGAGTCTGGGCAGCCAGGAAACAAATAAGTGGCCTCCTACAACATTTAAGGAGATGGAGATGCCAACTAACTACCCTGACCTTACTGATGAACACTACATAAATGTATCAAATCATCACACTGTACTCCTTAAAGATATGTAATTACATGTCAATAAAAATCATGAGGTGATACAAGAATTCATCAGAATTAAAATCTTGCCTCACCTCAGCAATGAGACCAGCTTTAGGGGCAGCCATGGCCACACTTTGCTGGAGGTGTGGTATTCTATAGGAATATATGAAATAAACTGCTAATTGCAGTGCCACCACCACAGATTGAGTGTAGAGTGAGGATGTCCAAAGACTTTCAGTGCTTTGTCTGCAGTTCATGTATTGATTTTTAAAAAGCATTTCCTAGTCATATGGCCATATCCTGTGGCCTCCTTGTCCCAGTAAACTAGTAGCAAGAAATAAGGTATTTCTCCCCGTTAGTCTCTATACACCCCCTTTATGGCTAAGGGTTTACTTTTCCTTGATATAGCATCCCACTGTCACTCTCCTCTGAGCTACTCTTGAAGTCTCCCTGGAAAGGCTATTTATTCCAGCCCTGGCCTTAAGGGCCCAGGAGAGACAGTCATAGGACTTTATGGTTTACCTTTCACAGGAAACTTCTTCCTCCTGGTAGCTGGTTTGGTTCCTATCCGCTGCAGTCTGTATCTGGAAAGGCCCCCAAAGGCCCCTGTGTTGAAGGCTTGGTCTTCTGCTGATGGCACTATTGGGAGATGGTGGAATCTTGATAAGGTAGGGCCTGGTAGAAAGAAGGGAAACCATTGAGGCATGCTCTTAAAGGGAATACTCGGGCTCTGGCCTCGTCTTTAATCACATACTCTTACCATGGTAACAGGTCAAAACAGCAACAGGACAATGGACTACAGATTAAAACATCCAAAATCAATATTTTTAAGTTGATCTAAGGTCATAGCAACCAACTGAAAGTATCCAGATGTCCCTTTAACAGGAAGCTTGTTTATGTGGGCAGACACCCTTGTGGCTCTATATCACAATCAGTTTCTTACCAAGAAAGCCATGATCTGATTAGATAAATGAGGTTCAAGTGTGGCCCAGAGGAGACAGCACAACAAAGCGCACAAAACAGAAACTTTATTATTCAGAAGTCTATGAGAGAAGTCAAGACTGATGGGAGTCCAGAGAGCAGGATGTTCAGGCAGGGTAGAGAGAACAGGAAGGATTTGAGGAACTAAAGCCCTTACTGGCATTCAGGTTACCTCAAGGTTTTTGCTAAGTGGATTTCAAGCTCTAAAGTTCACACTGAGGCCGTGACTACCGTGAGCATCTACACAGTACATGTAGGGTATAGGGCCAACTGAGGCCTATCTTGTCATCCCACGTGAAGGGAGGTCACAGAAGGAAGTCATGTAGCACAGACAACTAACTAGATAAACTATACTGAGACACTAGAAGTAGGTGAAAAACAGTAATTGCATCAAGGGTGACTGACTACATTCTGCTTCTGGTATGAGAAATTACAAATTACCTTTAAAATGGATGCCAGGACAACATAAGTTAGAATTTACTATAGGAAGCCTCTATCAGTCTAGTTCCCAAGTTCCATTTGGGAGATGGCAAGAAAAGACAAAGGGGAAGAAAGGTAGGCCAAAAAAAATAGCAGCAATGCCTTTATTTTGCAGAAGGAATGCAGGCACAGAAAGATGAAACAAGTTGTCCAAACCCCAGTTAAGTGTCTTAACTGGCTTCCAGTGTTATTTAGTACATTCCCAGGCTGGGTAACCCACCATCCCAGTCAGCTCCCCCACAGTTGTGTCATCTCACTCAGCAGGGCTGAACCAATGCTATAGAACAAGAAAAAAATAGGTTGAAACTCAGTCTATATAACCCTGTAACACATAACCCTCCAGTGTCTGTCTCCCAAATGCTAAGGTTACAATACTGAACCACCAGGCACCAAAAGAACAAGGTATTTTGTACAGAGCAAGTGGAGGCTACACTAGCCTCGCCATGGCTGTTGGGTTACCTAGTCTATATAAGCCAATTTAGTAAGTCTAATAAATCCCCTTTGCCACCCAAATACCATCAGTTCTGTTCTAGAGCACTGCTTCTTAACTTTCCAAATGCTCCGACCCTTTAAATACAGTTCATGTTGTGGTGACCTCCAACCATAGTTATTTTTGCTATTTTGATAACTAATTCTTTGCTACTGTTATGAATTATGTGAATGTCTGTTTAGGCAACCCCTTGTGAGAGTCACAACTCACAGATTGACAACTATTCTAGAGAACCCGGAATATACCAGACTTTAATTCAGCTTCTGTAACTGGGCTGTAACGTGGGACCCTATAGCACCAAAGATGATGTAAAACTTGTTCAATCCATCTATGCATGACAATATGGTAAAGACATTGTGAACCCAGGAACCAGGATGTTGGCGTTGAGTGCTGGAATAATTTCCTTATTTATAAAAAGGTGTGCGGCACAATATAATTTTTATAAATCATCAGAAGTCTTAAACTATATAGGATGCTGCATATGCTATTTCGCCCTACTGCCTCCTGTCCAGGCCTGATTCTCCAGGCTTCCTGGGGATTCTGAGGCACAAAGCAACTAGTTAAGTAGTGACCAAACATGCTCAGCGCTGGCTGGTTAGCAAGCTGGGCTGTTTACTGGCAGCAGAAGCACTTTCCTCTGAACTACAAGTACAAACAACATTTATGGGGTATTAGTTCTCCGTGCCGTGTGGCAGGAATTTCCTATCCTGAAGCTGGCATTATTCTGGCGCCACTGAGACAGCTGGGAATTCCACTCCAGGTCCTTCAAAGGACAAGAAACAGAAATGCTGTTTTAGCTACCGCCTCTAAAAAGTCAGATGAAAAATCTTCCTCTGAGTGTTCTTTGGCAGTCAGCTTTCCAGAGATTCTGTTGGTCAGTCATGGGCACATTGTTATCTGAAGTCTGGTACAGAGCCTCAGGAGATTCCAGCTTGTGCCCTTTGCTACAAAATGCCTAAAGCAGGCAAGGCAGGTCATGGCACCTGTAAGTAGTTTCCAAATCTGATATTTTTTCCTTAGTTCTTTGAGGCAGGGACTTGAAATGTACCATTGGTTTTCCTGGAACTTGATATGTAGACCAGGGTAGCTCAAACTCATAAAGATCCAATTGGCTCTGCCTCCTGAGTTTTGGAAATGAAGGCTACCATGTTGGACCCAAACCTGATTCTGTCACTCAGTCTTGCTATACAGACCAGGCTGCCCTTGAATTCAATCCTCCTGCATCAGCCTCCCAGATGGATTTGTTTATTATAACACACCTGGCTCACTCATGTTTCATGTAGACAAAACAAAACAAACAAACAGAAAAAACCTTGACAGAATAACAACTTTATTTATGAAGATGTAGAGGCACTCCAAACCCCAGGGAAACTGTTTCCTGTTCATACCTCAAACTTCCACTGTGGAGTAGAAAGAGTGTTACACTCTTAAACCATGCTGCAAGCATTTTTTTTCCCCATTTACTATGTAGTTTGTCTCTCTTGGGTTGTAACTCAGGAATCTCAGGTCTCTCTTTACACACCATTTCTTGGGCTATTTGTACCCCACTTCAGTGCTTCTTTGGGGAGAGATACGAACAAGACCCTTCTATTAGAACCTTTAAGTACTACATTCTCAGAGTACTGAAGGAAGAAGTTTGCAAAGGAAGGCATTTAGAGAAATTAGGAATGAACAAATTAAAGCCTCCAACGTAAGGGATTAATCCATGGTTGAAACAGCAAGTTGATTTTTTTTTATAAGCACCATGCATTTTCATGTACAAAAAAAAAATTTTTTTTTAAACAGCCTGTTACATAACTCTGGTGGTACTAAAACTTTCTATGTAGGACCAAGCTGGCTTGAACTAAGAGATCTACCTGCCTTTGGCTCCCAAGTGCTGGGATTGGAGGCATATCCCAGAATGCCTGATCTAACAAATTGTAGTGCTTAGCAAGACCACCCAAGATATTTCTCTCAAATGATTGCTAGCCAAACAAAGACGAAGAGCACACATCAATAGTCTTGTTTTAAACAACAGGAAGGAATTCCTATGTACTAGATCATGACAGGGATGCATCCCAGGATTACAGTTGATTGTCAAGAATGGAGAAAGTGGCTGCTTGTACATGAGAGCTTCTGACACAGCAGCAACTCCCTAGCCCCCAGAGTAACATACAGTGGCAACACGGGTCCACGATAAGGTATGTGTGAGAACACAGATTACAGAAGCACATACTGAATGTAAATTAGAAATACACCAAATTCCAAGACACACTACACTACATGTAAGACTGCTCCCATACAAGACACACTACATTACATGTAAGACTGCTCCCATACAAGACACACTACACTACATGTAAGACTGCTCCCATACAAAAGGTTCACAAATGGAACTGTACAATGTTACAATGTGCAGTGTTAAGATAAACGCTGTAAACAAAGCATTCAAATATGAAAAGATGACATGTAAAAACATATAATTACTGAGGATTTTTAGGTAAGGTTTTCAGAAAGCCCAGGAAGAGACTTTATATTACAAAATGGTCCATATCGCCCAAAAATGTCTTTTGATTGAAGAGTAAAATAGTATCTGTTGGAAGCTAAAAACTGAGATACAGTGCAGGCCATTGGGAGCGGTAAAGCTTGAATTTCTGCAATTTTCCTCCAAGTCAAATGATTGGAGTTCTCGTAGCACAGGAAGAGGTGGTAGCTCTCCACAGGAGCACACTTGGGGTTGACCTTGGGGACGTTCCATGCCAGGGCAATGCCTGGGGGCTTCAACACCCACTTCACTCTCAGCTCAGGCTTTTGGGGAGGAAGAGTGTCTTGGATTTTGTCTGCCATCTCAGAGAGTGGTGGTGACGGCTCTGGGAGAGGTGGCAGGTGTTCAAATGAATCAAAACCCTACAAATACATTTGCAAGAAAGTTTATGGAGATCATTTGGTGAATACAGACAAAAGTGGTAAAACTCAGGGGTACAAATCTACTTCTCATTCTTCAATCCTTCATCAAAGCAATGAAAGGTTATTTCAAAAAAAAATGAAGCTGTATTAATGTTTTGTGTGTATGTGCTGGTACATCTGTCCATGTATACACACATGTGGGGAGGTCAGAGGACAATCTCCCATGCTATATCCCATTAGGCTAGTCTGTCAGGACAGCAAACTCCTCCAGGAATCCACTTGTTTCTGCCTCCCCAGCTCTGGGATTGATTATATGTGAGTGCCACCTAGCGTGGCTTATTTAGTTTTTCAGCACCAAACTCAGGTCTTGATGTTTGCAGTATACTTTAATGACTGAGTCATCTCCTGGCCTCTAGATCCAATCATTCAAAACAGAAGGTTCTTTTGGAGCTGAGATGTGTTCTGAATGATCCTAGAAACTGGACCCAGCACTTTGCACATACTAGGTAAATGCTTTACCTCTGAGCCACATTCCAAGCTGAGAGTAGAATAATTTCTACACTGTAAAATATTACTAATCCATAATAAAGGAGGTATCAGGCCTTCAGGATCATATCATTTTAACATTGTGTTTCCAAACATAGTAATTTCTCCTAACAACCTCATCAACAATGGACATTACTCCTAAAATAAATAAAAAACTATGTTATCATTTCTATAGCTTTTGAAAATTGCTAACTGAACTCTTATTATTATTGTAGGGGGTTCAAAAGAGCACTTTATGAGAAGCCATCAAGGTGTTCCTAAGCTGAAATGTGGCTCAGATGCTTCCAGAGTAAAACAGATAAACCCACTCTGCTGGATGAACATCCTTTACACAGCATTTCAGATTAGTACCTCATCTCCATTTTCTGCCACTGGGATTATTTCGTTTGATCTTAAAACAGCTTTCGAAGATGACTTCAGGGTGAATGCTGGGCTTTCTGTGAACAAGACAGTATAATTTAGAGCTGGGAGTGTTTCTCAGTGAAAAAGCACTTGTCTACCATAAATGAGAAGGCCCCACACTACAAGAAAATAAAAGTAAGTAAGTAAAATTTACCTGGAACAAATTCCACGGTGTTTAAGCAGTTTTACACCTTGGGTAGTAAATACACTTACAAGTATGATATTCGTATAAATATACAGTTGAGAAAATACATAAAATTTTCATTAAGGTGACAAAAATTTCCTCTAAAAGTAAATCCTTTATTATGCACCAGAAATTTGGTATTTTGGAGAGGGATTCAGGAGATAAGAGGTAGACTTTCCTGTTAGATCAGGACATATAAAACACTAAGCTACTTATAAACACACATGGATATTTAACATACACAAGCTGAGGAATTTCAGTACTCTCTCCTGAGGTATACATTCACATGGAAGAAATAAAACAAAAGATTAAAGAGGAGAGGAGAGGAAGGAAAGACATGGTAAGAGAAGAAAAAAAGAGGTGAGGAGGGTAGAGAAGCTATGGTGGGAGGGAGGGAAAGGTGTACAAAGGTTTGGCAAATGGCTTTAAACAGCTAAGTAGAGAACACATGGAGGAGATGAAAATGCGTGGATAACACTGGAAAGTACAAAGACTAGATTAGTAATGACCAGTCAATACCTCCTGCAATGATTTGTCTATATTTTTAATATATAAATATCTTACAATTTTGTCCATTTTTCAGGTCTGTCTTACATTTTTATAGTCCCCCCCCCCTTTTTGCGTGCATGTGTCTGTCTGTTTTGAGACAAAGTCTAACTATACAGCTCTTGCTGCCTCTGTCTCCTAAGAGCCAGCAGTTCCAGGGCTACAGAGAAACCCTGTCTTGAAAAGATTATATTTAGATTAGATGTATCTCAGTGACTTGACTAGCATGCATGGCCAAGGGATCAATATCCAGCACTGCAGAAGGATCTGCTTTCTCTAGAAGCGCGCATCTACTGGATCAGGCAAACACAGAGTTATTGTGTCATACACTGGTTGCATATATAGACATTTTGTTTCTTGCTTGTTATGGCATATAAATAAGTAATCTACATATTTATCAGCTGGTAGACTTCTAAATAAAGCTGTTATGAGAAATTATGTTTTTACAGTGTATAGTTGAATGTGGTTAGCTACAGTCCCAGGATTTGGAAAACTGAGGTAAAATTGCAAGTTAAGGGGCAGATTAGATACTTAATGAGAGCCTGTCAAATAAAGTATGTTTGAATGTGGGTTTTCTTTTCTCTTGGAGAAATAAATGGAAGAGAAAAACTTAGAAATTGCCAAGTTAAGTTGTTTAGCCATTTTAAATACCTATTAACAAAGAATCCTAAATTGATACATAACCTCACCAACATCACACCTTCTGTTCATTTTGCTTATTCTGTTGGACATACAATAAATCTCATTATGGCTTTACTTTCCCTACTAAGAATACTACATAGGCCATCTCTTTTGATCACTCTTATTTATATCAAAGTAAGTCTTCCTGCTTTGGAGTCAGTTTTATTTGTTGTGGAGTCTCTTGGATGAGTATTGAAGATGGCATTTTATTGCCACAACTAGTTTATTATTCTTCAAGTATTCCTGAAATATTACCATATCCGTCCTTATTGTACCACAATCTGGTTAACACTTTTTAATATGGAATCACTTTTCTTTCAGTTGTTATCTGATTCCTTCAATGAACTTCCTTCAGGGCTAGAGAGATGATTCTGTGGCTAGCATGTTTGCTATGCAAGCATGAAAACCTCAATCTGGATCTATAACACCTACATAAAAACTGGGCACAAGCACCTGTGCCCAGACTGGCCTTAACTCCCAATCCTCCCTCCTGTCTCCAACTGTCAAGTGCTGGAATCACTGGTGCTCACCATTACTGTTTAACTTTTGAAATATATATTTACTATATTAAGAATTCCAGGTCAATACTTTTTTCCTTGAAAGTTCTGCAGTTCATCAGTTACCTGTATGACAGGGCAAAGGTTTCTCCTTCATCTTGTCTCATTTGAAGCCATCTTTGGTTTAGCCTGAAACTGATTCTCCGCCCCCTTCTCTACTCCCCCACAAAGAGTCCTGTGGGAAAGTGTCTAACCTTGCTCTAGAAACTCAGGGTTGAAAAGCCCCAGCTAACTGGATATTTTTGGCTTCTGCTAAACTGCTTGTTTGCTTTTCCCCTGCAACTGCCAACCACGATGTAATTTTTCTATGCCCTTTGCTTAGGCTATTCTGTGAGAATTGTTTTTACCTAGGCAGTACAGGTCAGCTTAATACAAATGCTCAGTTTGATGGTCAGCTAAGTGGCCTTTGGTTCTCTACTCCACAATACTTTCCTTAGACATGGTGCCACTTTAGCACATCAGGTCACCAAAACAATCTTTCCGTATCTTGCTCTTTGCTGCACCAGTCCTGGCCTTTGTGCTGCCCCAGCTCCCTTTCACTCTGATCTTACATGCCTTTCATAGTTTTCTTGAGGTCTTTTTTTTGCTCATATAGGTTATGTCTTGAAAATTTGAAAATCTATGTTTGGGTTTGTTTTTCTTTGCATAGTCCAAAGAATCATAAATCGTGCCAAAGCCATCAGTCTTTTTGCCACCAAAGTGAGTTCTGATTCCAAATAAGTACAAAGATAATAACACCTGATGTGGTTTTATACATTTTAGTTTTCTTTCCTGAATTTTTATGTTCAGTTCTGTTGTTCAGTCCTGTTGCTTGCGCTGAAGAAGATAGTAGGTTATAAACTTCCTGATCTAGATAGTCTCACTTATGATGGCAGTGATTCTTTCTCCAGCCTTTCTTTAATGATGTGATTCAACTATCTTTTGGCTTAAATGGTTCCAGCTGAGAATTCTGTGAAACCTTTGTTTTTTCTACTTTTCTTGCATCATTTTTTTTAAAGTATGGGAACTTCATTCATTTGCATACTATCCTTTGTACAGAGACCATGTTAATCAATTTTGCATTGGTTCAATACTAACAAATGTAATTTTTTTCACTTGTTATCAAGAAAATGATTGTGCTGATAAAGTATTCTTAGTTTTGATTCTCTTTGAAGATGATTGAATTTCTTGGCTGTGTGGATTATACTTCTCGGTATTCAGAATGAGACTGTATGACTAACTTCCAATACTAGAAAATTATATATCTTTTGGTTCAAATGGAAGAAACAGTATTCTTCATTTTCATATCATGTACGAATAACATTCCTCTATTCCTGATTCTAGATACTTCCTCTCAGGCACTATTGTTACGATTAAGAAAAATGTGTGCTACAGGGAGATGGAGAGACTCAGAGTAGTCCCAGAAATCCAAATGTCCTTCAAAATGTGAGTAGATAAAGAGATCAAGAGACATCCATACCTAGTCTATTATTTAACCACAGAAAGGAATACATTATTGATACAAAAAAATATAAATAACCTGCTAAAGAACCATATTGAAAGAATCCAATTTCAGCTGGGCGGTGGTGGCGCACACCTTTAATCCCAGCACTCGGGAGGCAGAGGCAGGCGGATCTCTGTGAGTTCGAGGCCAGCCTGGTCTACAAGAGCTAGTTCCAGGACAGGAACCAAAGCAAAAGAGAAACCCTGTCTCGAAAAATCAAAAAAAAAAAAAAAAAAAAAAAAAAAAAAAAAAAAAGAAGAAAGAATCCAATTTCAGAAGAATGATTATTGCATAATCACACTGAAATTACCTAATCAAAGAAAAGAAAGCAAATTAATGGTTGCCAGGGCTTGGGGACTAAGATAGTCATATGTGTGCCTTTAAAAGAGTAGTACAGGGCTGAAGAGATGGCTCAGTGGTTAAGAGCATTGCCTGCTCTTCCAAAGGTCCTGAGTTCAATTCCCGGCAACCACATGGTGGCTTACAACCATCTGTAATGAGGTCTGGTGCCCTCTTCTGGCCTGTAGACATACACACAGACAGAATATTGTATGCATAAAAAATAAATATTAAAAAAAAAAAGAGTAGTACAAGGCAGCCTTGCAATGACAGAACAATCTGTAAATTCTGGTACAGTCACACAAACCCATATACGTTTTCCCAGAAAGGAAGATGTAAATGTAACCTTTACCTATGCTGTTGCTAGACAGGCCATCTCTTGTCAAGTCAATAACAAAATCAGGTTTCTTCTCTTCAGCCTGAAAAGTTTTGTTAAAAAAAATTGTTTAATAGCAGATTTTTTTTTTAAATATAAAAACATATATTTATTTTTCAATGCTGAGGATTGAACCTTGGTCTGGTACACATTCATGCTCAAAAGTGTATCACAAATGAGCTAGTCCAAATCCCATCTAATAGGTAGAAGCTGGCAACTCAACAGTCTCTAAATAAGTTATGGTTTAAATTAGCTCTACTAGATGAGGCATTGATAAGATACTGCAGTGTCTGAAAATATGGTTAAAAGTCTCAACAAGCCAGGCAGTGCTGGTTTAAAACTTTAATTCTAGCACTCGGAAAACAGAGGCACAGAGATCTCTGTGAGTTCAAGGCCAGCCTGGTCTACAGAGTGAGTTCCAGGACAGTTAGAATAGTTACACAGAAAGACCCTGTCTCAAAAAAACCAAAGAATTTCAATGAATTGAGGGTGTGCATCATTCTGAAAAATGTAGCTGCTTTTTTTTTTTTCAGTGTGCAATTTGGACTAGAACCTGGACATACAAACTACTCCTATATTTGTTTGTGTCACCCCCCTCCCAGGAAACTTTGCGTGCACCTAGTCAAAGAGTGGATGACAAAACTCCTTCCTCACAACATGCTCAAATATCCAGAGACAACACCTGTTACCTACCCCAACTTCAATTATGGTATTAGATGAGTTGCTCAATTTCTTTGATCTGTTTTTTCCAAATTCTGGAAGAAATGGAAAAAAACAAAACAAAACAAAACATGAATATATCCAATTAAGTTTATTAAACATTTAAACATGTTCTTTACAATACAAGACACTGAAACACAAATGATAGGGACTCTAATATACTATAAAATAAAAATAACTAAATTAATATATCCCTAAAACTGATAAGCTAGCTAAAATTTTGATTTGGAATTAAGACACACTTTCTTTCAGCAGCTTACAGCTATACCAGTAGTTCCTGTTTTTCAAAGTCTGAAACTATGTTAGCATCTACAATTGTGATATTTTGTTATCACAGTATATTTAAGAGTGCCTGAGGAGCATCTTCCTGGAATGTAGAGTTCTGCACTTCTTTGGAACTCTTTAATTACCAATTGTTGAGATAAATAATTTCATATGCAGGGTGGGAGGGAATGAAAAGCCTTCAGATATTAAAATATAAACATTTCAACACAGCAAAACATGATACAAACAAAGGTAATTCTGGGTAAGAAATTATGTGCAAGCAATATAGCCATTTTTAAGTTAGAAAAAAGTTTTCTACAAAACCAGGTGTGGTGGTACATGCTTGTAATTCCAGCATCTGGAAAGCGAAGACAGAAAGATTAGAAATTCAAGGTCTTCCTTACCTGCACAGAGTGTTCATATCCTGTAAATGAGATTTCACATAAACAAAAGAGCAGATACGTTTTAAGCTGAGCTCTACGAAAACAATCTATCTCATCTAAAAAGATTTTTTTAAATAAAGCATTAGACTCAAACTCTAAAACTGAAAGTAACTTTAAAAATTTTAAAAAGATAATCAAGAAGAAACTTTAAATCTAAAATAAGCTATTTACTAATAGATAGAGACAAATTACCACTACCGTTAAAGAAAGACCAGGGCAAACAAAATGGATATACATGATTTAGGTTGTAAATCATTAGAGCAATACAGAAAAGAAGCAAAAGTCTTAAGCTGATAGATTCAAAGATTAAAAGAAATGTCAATTTTATTAATGAATCATCATCGATTAATTAGGTATCAACAGTTTATAATCCTAGTTATAAACTAGAAGATTAAGCAGACAATTTTACATCTTATTTCAAGATGATGGGGCTGGAGAGATGACTCAGGGCTTAAGTACTTGCTGCTGTTCCAGACAATCAAGAGTTCAGCTCCCAGCACCCACATCAGGTGGTTCACAACTGCTTCAACTCCAGCTCCAGGGGGATCAAGTGTCCTCTCTACCTCTCAGAGCATCCACACATGAGGTATATACTCACACAAACACATATATACATAAATGAAAATAAAAAACCTTTTAGATACCTGTTGAAACTGATGTAATTGGAGTTGCCAAATTGGGTTTTTCCACAGAAATTAACATAACATCATCAGTGTTACTAAAATGATAAAAAAACAAAGAAAGCAGAAAAACTGCAGTTAACAACCAGAATTCCTCTAACTTATTATTTATTAATGTCATTTATCAGAGGACAACTTGTGAGAATCAGTTCTCTGGGGATCTGGGACACAAACTGAGGCTGGAAAACAAGCACTTTTACTGCTGAGCTGAGGTCAGTCCTCATAACACGCTGTAACTGAACAACTGTGGGAAAAGAGGAGATAAAATCAAACACTGAACAAAGCCCATGTCCTATCAGTTCATTTATATGATTCACAAGCTCAAGGAGGGCAGGGCAAGATGGGTCAGCAGGTCAAGCTTGATAGCCTAAATTCAATTTCTTCAACCCAAATGGTGGGAAGAGAGAACTCCTATGTGCTGTATGCTGACCTCCCCAAGTGACACAGTACACACAAACACCCACAAAAAACATTCTTTTTTAAGTACAGGGAGGGGCTGAAGAGATGGTTGAGCATTAAGAGTACTGCCTACTGTTCCAGAGGGTCTGAGCTCAATTCCCAGCACCCACATGGCAGCTGGCACCTGTCTGTAACTCTGGCTCCATGGCTTCTGACATCCTCACAGACACATAAATATAGGCAAAATACCAATGGATATAAAATAAAAATAAATTATATAAAAAAGCACAGGGAAATCCAGAAATAGATAAGTAAAACTTAGTAGGGACATAGTCACAATATTTACAATGTAATATACAACTATACCAAACACATAGGCATATGAAATACACAAATATCACATGTAGTCTGTTCATAAAATACATATAAATGGAAAAAAAACCTATTAAGACCCATAAGAACACTGATTCTTAAAAGATACATGACCCTGAGGCTGGACATGATCCCAGTGAGGCCAGACTGGAAGAAACACAAATTATTTACATAGCTGCCACTATTTTACCACTAATTCTAAGCCCAAAGGCTATGTTTTGCTCCCATTTCAACCCTCATCAGAAGCCTTTTAATAGGGATTTTGTTAAAAAAAAATACAAACTGTATTAATTCAAATGAAAGATTAATTTTCCATAATTCAAAACTATACCATCTTATGAGATGTCTTACATTTTTAGTATCTGTATTCAGGATTCGCTTTTATTTAAATTTTATTTACCAGGGCCAGACGTGGTGGCTAATGCCTTCTTTTATCTCAGCACTCAGGAGGCAGAGGCAGGCAGATCTGAGTTTGAGGCCAGCCTAGTCTACACATAGAAACCCTGTCTCAATCCCCGCTCCCCCCAAAAGGGGGGGCTAAAGTTTACCTTTTGAAAATTATTATTTTTATTATTATTATTTAGCAAGGATCTATGTAGTTTGGATTAGTCTTACTATGTAGCTAAGCATGAACTTGAAACCCTGAGAATACAGGCAAACCCCACTTTGATCCCTGCAGTTATTCCAACCAACATTTTTTTTTTAATAGAAAAATTTTTTCTCCATAAATCACCCTGACATTTTTCTTACAAACCAGAGGCTTCCACAGGTACATGTTAGCTCGCACAGTGACCTATATGCCTCTCCTTACAACCACTGTCCTAATCACTGCAGCACTGGCAGGTTCTGAATATAGGAAGTGAGTCTACCAACCTTGTTTCTGAATTGTAATATCATTATTCACTATTCAGTTCTTTTCTTTTCACAAGTTTTAATCAGTTTGCTACTTTCTACAAAGTATATGCCATAATCTTCTTAAGATTACATTAAACCTATATAACAATCAATATATAACAACATCTTAACAATGATCAGCTTTCTAAGTCATGAATGTAATACCACTTATTTAGGTCTCCCATAATTTGGAATTACTTTGCGGTCTAATTAATGTTTATGAATATTTTGGTTTACCCCTTATGCGCACTGATGGTACTTAAATAGTATTGTTTCAAATGGTAATAGGTTTTTTTTCAGACATACATGGTGGTACTTACCTTTAATCCTGGCACTCAGGAAGCAAGGCAGCCTGGTCTATATAACAAGTTCCAGCTCAACCAGGGCTATACAGTGAGCCTTGTCTAAAAGTTTTCCCATGTGCATTATATATAAAACCAAAAATATATTTACCCATGCTTGTCTAATACTGGAAGTCTGTATTAGGAGGTATGGCCTTGTTGGAGGAAGTGTGTTACTATGGAGGCTGGCTTTGAGGTCTCATATAGCCTCAGGCCATGCCCAATTTTTCAGACAACTTCCTGTCAAGATGTAGGACTCTCAGGTAGTTTTCCAGCACCATGTCTGCATACATGCCATCATGTCGCACCATGATGATAATGGACTAAACCTCTGAAAATGTAAGCCTGCCCAATTAAATGTTTTTCCTTTATAAGAGTTGCCATGGTCATGGTGTCTTCTTCATAGCAATAGAAACAACACAAACACACACCTACACACACACACACACACACACACACACACACAAAGATGTAATAAAACAGCGACATGTAACCTTTATGAAGCAGTACTATTAATTGCTACCAATAACAGAATTCTGTGCATGGGCCATAGCTGAACAGGGTATCCTGATGGGTTTTCATGGTAGTTTGACTGTGTTGAATGTTTTCTATCTATATTTTACCACAGAGAAAAAAAAATGTGTATAAAATTAATAATTTCTTCAGGAAATATTATACGGCAGATAAGAACATCAATTCTAGAGATTAAATGTCTGGATCTCAATCTTAACTTGCCATTGACTAGTATATTTGGTTTACTTGTCTGTAAAATAGGTACAAATTTTAGAGATTAAATACGAGTTAGAGATGTAGCTAAGTGGTAGAGTACTTGGCTAGCATACTCTAAGTCCTTGGCTCTAATACCAGCAAGATGGAAGGAAGGGAAAGGATGAACAATTGAGTTTAAAGCAGTGGCTTTTTATGCTTTATATTTTTTTAAAGTTTTTTTTTAAAGTGTGTGTTTTGCCTTGCATGTATGTATATTTACTATATGTGCCTGATGCCTGTGAATGCCAGAAAGGGGTGCTTAGTCCCTATAATTAGAGTTACAGAGGCTGGTAAGATGTCATGTGTGTTGTGGAATATTTGTTTAACTATGCAAAGATGTATTGCATTTGTTTATGTTGAGAAATATTTGTTTAACTATGTAAAGATTGCTGCACTTGTTTAATTATGTAAAAATGTGTTGTTGTTTTACCTTGCCTGCCTAAGGCACCTGATGGGTCTAATAAAAAGCAGTTAATAGTGAGGAAGCAGATAGAGGCAGAACTTCCAGGCAGAGAGTAAGGAAAAGAGAAAAGGAAAGGACAAAGGGTCAGACAGACAGACCTGGAAGAAGCAGGAAAGTAGGACATACAGAATCAAAGAGAGGTCAAAAGTCCTGAGGTAAAACCTAGATGAATAGAAGCAGGTTCAATTCAGTTAAAAGAGCAGTGGGAGGAGCCTAAGCTAAGGCTGAGCATTCATAAAGTCACTGGCCCAAAGAAAAATCTTAACTGCACATGTGCACGTTGAAAACTGAATCCAGGTTTCTCTGAATGAATAGCAAATGCTATTATCTGCTGAGCCACCTCTCTAGCCCTAAGCTTTATTATTATTGTGTGAGTGTATGTGTATGCTTGTGAATACCATGGTGTGCATATAGGTCAGAGGGCCAACTCTGTAAAAGGGATGTTTCCTTCCACCTTTATGTGGGCTCCAAAAATCAAACTCAGATCATCAGGCTTTAGGACAAGCATGTTTTTACCATTTTGTTTTGTTTCAGAGAGAAGATCTTTGTAGCCCTGGCTGGGAGTAAAAGGCAAGTGCTACCACGCCTGGCCCTCCAATCCTGTCAGTTTCCACAGAAATGTCTACACATGCACTGCAAGATTTATTTCTTTGAGCAACAATAGGATGAGTAGTGTGGCCTGTTCCGGGTTGCTTTAGATCTTTACGCTTAATTTTCATCCTGGACATTTCTTATAAACCAAACTTCTTGGGTTCTCCCCATCCCCGGCCCCCCCCCCCCTTTTTTTTCCCCAGACAGGGTTTTTCTGTGTATCCCTGGCTTTCCTGGAACTCACTCTGTAGACCAGCCTGGCCTCAAACTCAGAGATCTGCCTGCCTCTGCTAGGATTAAAGGTGTGTGCCACCACTACCCAACCCAAATTTCTTAAAGGTATACACACTTTGACCTATATATAAGCCTTCTCTGTGAGTGTCTTCAACTCAGTTTATTATTGCATTTCCCAGTTTCTTCACATTCTAAACATAAAATGCTTAAGCTAAATCTAACCATAAGAGGCATGGAAAAAACTAATTTCTCCAATTCTGGGTCATCAGAAACAAAAACAATTAGAAACCTTCAGGCTTCTTCTAGTGGCAGTATAATACTATGGAGCACACACTCATTTCCTTTTGCGTATCTTTAAAAGATCATCTCTGAAATATTTTAAGAAATAAATTGTATTTATACAAAATAAATATAAATTGATATTTAGACTAGCTTACAGTGGGGCCCTAATTCAAATAATTTTTTAAAACGCTGTATTTAAAAACAATTCAACTAAGAAAATTAACAAAAATATTTTTGATGATATAAAATGTTGCTAAGCTAATGAAAAGATGATGGACCAAGGCACTAAGGAAAAGAGGATGCAGGAATAAGGCTCTGATGCCCATCACTGCTGTCCCCACAAGGCATTTGTCTTTGCCATGCAGAAATGCTAAGAAACAAGCAGAAGGTGCTTAGAAATCACAATAGACTGACATGGAGACCAAAATCACAATAAACATTTTAAAGGGGGCTATAGGACACACCTGAAAACTTACGTGAAACTCTGAGGTGTGTCACAACTACTTAGAACTCGAGCTCCAAGGAGATCTGACATTCTCTGCTCAACTGCATTTTTTGGGCAAATAATTCCACACAGACAAAACAAACATACACATAAAATTAAAAATAAAAATGAATGAAAATGTAGAGCTAAATAGTATGGGTTACTGGGGCAACTGCTAGAGTCAAAACTGTATGTTAAGTCCCAAATACCCAGTCCAGCCAGGATAACATAGAACCTGTCTCAAAGATATGAAAACAAAAAGACTTTATCAGTATGTCCCACTACACCCCTTGGAACAACACTGATCTAAGTCAAGCATGCTTCTTTGCTTCTAAAACCCTCAGGCTACAGACCAGTGCTTTATGAAAGAATTAGACAACTAAGTTCACCCCAGTTGGCTGGTATCACGATAATACTTTCAGAATGGAGAGTACCAACAGTGATCGCTAATCAGCCCAAAGGAAGTGGGAAGCAGTGAAATAAAACCCATCACCTGACAGTTCAAAACTGGATTGCTCTTCAACAACAGAAGCTCAGGGAACCAACTGGATTCCTTCACACTGTTGATGTGAATATGAATTTTTAAGCTACCTTATGCTTAATATAACTAGAAACATATTTAGATAAATAACTTTATGCATTTTTATAGAAATGCCTACCTTTCAGAAACAAACTGGACACAAGCTGAAGATAAATTAACCCTTCTAGTTGCTTTTTCTGAAGAGTTACAAGGATCAGGGTTCACAGAAGGTGTTCTTTTACTTAGGCTTTTAACTGACCCTTGGGTCACGCTCCCATTCATGGTCTCTGAATCTGTAATCTGTTAAACGCACGAGGAAAAAGCAGATGAGTAGAAGGTAAAATTTCACACGGAAGAGTCTTGTAAATATAAGTTAAAATATTAAGCCAGGGGTACACACCTTTAAGCTTAGCACTTGGGAGGCAGAGGCAGGCAGATCTTTGTGAGTTCAAGCCCAACCTGGTCTACAGAGCAAGTTACAGTACAGTCAAGGCTACAGAGAAACCCTGTCTTGAAAAAGCAAAAAAGGCTGTACTTCAATGGCAGATAACCATAAAGGTGATTTCTCTGCCAAAATGCGTCAAGGAAATTAACAATGACATTACAAATCTAGACTTTGAAAACAGGGCAAACAAATACTGAGATACTTAGACAACATCTTATTACTAGTAGTCTAAATTTAATATTTTAGAGTGATTTTAACTTCCAGTTGTTAATTTATTTAAATCTTGGAGTAAAAGGATTGACTCCATGCCTCAGTTGAGAATGAACAAGGCCTTTTGTTAAGGGGTGGCATGAAAAATAAGGTAGATCCCCTAAGGCAGAACTCTCAGGTCTATTATACTAAGTAAACCAATTTACATGTGAACACCACACACCACTGGGAAGCAAAGTTGAACAGCATCCTTTCACTTCCAGGACATGGTAACATGGATTCACTTCCTCCCTCTCCTCCGTGTAAATAACTGAATGGTAATCACAAAGCAACTGAAAATTTAATAAAGAGAGAGAGACTGGCTATAGACCTCATGACCACAGTGAGTATACTGTATACACCATGCTAGGTTATAAGGACACCAGACATCTCTACAGCCCTCATTTCAAAAACGTAGTAGTGATTGGTCACGGTGACTCAATCCCAACACCAGAAGAATCAAAGGTTCCATTTCATAAACCACAGTAGCAGCTGGATGAACACTGGGGGCAGACGAAGTCTAAGTGGCTGCAGCAACAATAGCAAGCAGAGCCTAACTATGGACCGATACCCAGAGCTCCATTCCAAAAAAGCAGCCAGTCAAATCTTCTTCAAAGGCAAAATTGCCCTCTTCCCACACGTAAGTCAGCAGCAGGGCACAGACTAGCAACAGCACTCACTCAGCTCTACACCAGACACAGCAGGCCCAATCCACTCGGAGACCAACAGCAGTCTGCAGTACCAGCAAGGACCAACAGGTAACCACGGGGAGCCCAAAGAACAAAGCCAAGCAAAAGAGCACACAAAAGCCATTAAAGTGAACTGTTATGGAAACTACAGCTCTGAGACGGCAAGGATGTATATACTAAGCCTAAACAGAGTAACAAAGGGAGTCATGTGACAAACCCCACAACCTTTGGTCCTTTCAAAGAACAGCAAAAGTAGTAGGTGCACGTATCCTTATACCCCAGAGCTCTATTTCTGACCACAAACCTAATTTTAGAGTTGTATTCTGGACATGCTGAGAATTTCCCAGATCATCAAATACCGGCTTCTTTTCGTTACAGTCCCTCCTTCAGTATCACTTCTGTATTTTTCACATTTAACTTTAAAAAACAAGAAACCAACATTGTTATCTAAGCTTTCTGTCCTCATTTGGAAGTATATGCACATCTTATGATCCAATAAGTCACGCAGATTAAAACCTCTGTGTATTTATACGAACCTTACAGACTGTATTATTGGGTAATGTGTTTGGTTCCAAACAATTTTCTTGAGATGATAATACTTTTTTAATACGTCTTTGAAGCCTTCTGATTTTCACCTAGAAGAAAACTTAGGTATCACACCACAGTTCTAAACAGTACAAAAGAAAAATGCAAACTATTTGACAAGTAGTCTTGTGAAATGTAGGTACCTACTCTAATAATGAAAGGTCTTCTTTTCCTTCATTTCTTTTTCATCATGATTCCAGGCCCCAATAACTCCCAGCAGAGAATGCTTCTATTCTTTCATTCCCTTAGCTTGCACCTTTACTTTTTAAATTTACTTATTTATTTATAAATATGGTCTGATATATTTCAGGCTGGCTTTGAACTCCCTATGTAGTTAAGGTTGTCCTTGAATTCCCAGTTTTTCCTGCCTCTATCTCTGGGTAATGGAATTGTACATTAGCATACCATTTTTATGCATGCTACATAAAGATGGAATCAAACACAGGACTTAACTGCTAGCTCGGCCAGCACTCCAATTTAGCTCCATCACCAGCCCCAGCAATAAACTCTTACACAGTCAACATTTGCTATCCATGGAGGAATGATTCCAGGTCTTATAGATATGAAAACCTGCACCTGTTAAAAACCATACACATCCTCTTGTTCACTTTAAAATCTTTAGATTACTTATAAGGTCTAATACAGTGGGAATCCTATTACATAGTTACTACAATGTACTGTTCAGGGAATAATGATTAGGCAAAAAGATGGTACAGATTCATTTGAAACACTTTTTTCCTGAATATTTTCGGTCTGTCTGTGATGACACACGCCTTTAATTTCAGCATTCAGGAGGCAGTGGCAGCAGGCAGGCCTCTGGGATTGAGGCTATCCAAATCTATACAGTGAATTCCAGAACAGGTGGATAGTTGAGGCTATGTAAATTAATGATGAAACAACAAAAGAAAAATCAGTCTGCAGTTAGTTAAGTATAGACACAAAACCCAAAATGTGGAAAACTGATAAATGAGGGGGTTAGCTACTTAAGATATTTAAGGATGGAAAAGACTTGTTTGGATGGTTCATGTTTCCAATTCCAAAATTAAGAGGACTTTCAAGGAGGAGGATATAGAATTCAAAGCCAACCTGGACTACATATAACCACATCCAACCTCAAAAAGAAAAAAACAGTAAACTTAATTTGTTTGCAATAAAACTGATGCTGAGAAAGAAAGAAAGAAAGAAAGAAAGAAAGAAAAAGAGGCGGAAGAAGAAAATGGTATGGGAAGTCCTTCTGTCTATATGTTACTTTTACTGGTTAATGAATACAGAAACTGCTTTGGCCTGTGATAGGGTAGAATAGAGCTAGGCAGGGAAAACTAAAATGAATGCTGGGAGAAAGAAGGCAGAGTCAGAGAAATGCCATGGAGCCGCCAGAGGGGAAGAGGCAAGATGCCAGCTAGAACATTGCCGGAAGGCCATGAGCCTCATGGTAAAATATAAAATAATGGAAATGGGTTAATTCTAGATTTAAGAGCTAGCCAGAAATACGCTTAAGCTATGGGTCAAGCAGTATAGCAAATAATATGATTTCTGAGTGATTATTTCCGTTCTGGGCAGCCGGGAATGAATAAGCAGCCTCCTACTACAGAAAAAGAAAGACAGTAACCCTAGAAAACTAAAAGAACAAGAACAAAACAAAAAACAAAATAAGCAGAGAGCTTGAAAGATCTTAAAACAGATTATGTAAACTCTAATAAAGCACATATTAGAATAGAAAGAAAATGCCTACATACTATGGATAACCATAAACAGACACAGAATGCCAGCTAGGACTAAGACTTATTTCTCAAGTCTAAAGTTAAACTAGTAGGTCTCCTTTTATTGCAGTGGTTCTCAAGCTAGGGGTTATAACTCAGATAGCCTACATATCAGATATTTACATTGCAATTCATAACAGTAGCAAATTACAGTTACAAGATAGCAACAAAAGTAATTTTATGATTGGAGGTCACCACACCATGAGGAACTGGATTAAAGGGTCAAAGCACTGGGAAGGTTAAGAATCACTGTATTATTACCTCCCTTTCCGAACATAAAGGACATGACATGACCACATTCCACACATAATAAAAAGAAGAAAATGAAATCAGAAACTTACAAAGAGCTCACCAGCTATTGCTTCATGCTTATGCTTGCACTGGGTCTTCCCAATGCGTTCATTAAGTTCATTCAGTTTTTTATCAAATAGGTTACAATTTATCATGTAGATTTCCTGTCGAATCCAATGTTTAACCTAGAATTTAAATAAAAGCATGTTTTAAATTTCAAAACAATTTTATTTCTTAATTTTTATTTTTATGTGTATTGTTTTGCCTGCATGTATGGATGTGCACCATGCAGAGGCCAGAAGGGGGCATCAGAACTCCTGGAAATGGAGTTACATATAGTTATGAGCTGGCATGTGGGTTCTGGGACCAAACCAGGGTCCATTAGACGAACAGTCATTGTTCTTAACCTCTGAGCCATCTCTTCAGTCCACTCCTACTTTGAGGCAAGATTTTTCACTAGTCATCTCAGCTTGGCTGAAGCAGACAAGTCTATCATCAACTTCAAAAAGATCTGCATGCTTTGTATCCCGGGTACTGGGATAAAGGTGTGGACTACCACACCCAGCTTATTTTCTATAGCTTAAAAATTACTTTACTCTTTCTTCATTTTTTGTTGTCATTGTTTTTGAGACAGGGTTTCTCTGTGTTAACCTGGCTGTCCTGTAACTCACTCTGTAGACCAGGCTGCCCTCCAACTCACAGGGATCCGCAGGGATCCGCCTGCCCCTGTTTCCCAAGAGCTGGAATTAAAGGCGTTGGCCACCACCACCCAGCCTTCTTGATGTTTTATAATGACAAAACTGCTACATACTACACCAGTAAGTTTTATAAAAACCTGAATAGTAAATTTTCCACAGCACATCTAATGATTAAGTACACAAATAGACATGTTAGAAATGAAGTTCATCCTCAAACAATGACATCTATACATATAGTTCCAACTGACTGCTGTATCCATAATGTACATTAACTACAGTACATAACAATTGAATAACATAATAACCATAATGAACTGCAATCAGACCCATCAAAACAGAACCTGAACACAGCTACTCCACTAGAACTTTCCTTTTTGGTTTGTCTCTTTGAAACAGAGTTTCTATATAGTCCTGCATGGTTGCCCTGGAACTCACTCTAGAAACCAGGCTGGCCTCGACCTCAGATTCACCTACTACATCTGCCTCCTGAGTGCTGGGATTAAAGGCATGCACCAACACACCTAGCCTGGAAGATTATATTTCAATTCCTAGTTAATCAGACAGATGGACCACAAAGAAACACATAATTGGGCAAAAATAAAAGCACTAAGGATATTTAACAGCATTAAAAAGCAGTATACCTAGGTTAGTCTGGAAGAGGAGATATGTAATTTTAAAGTATCAAGATTCCAAAATGGACAACAAGGTTGCTTGAGCCTATAAAATTCTGAATAACTGTGATGTAGTCAATAAACAGCTATTACTACTGGTCAAAAACCCATGACCAATACAAATGTTGGACAGTCAAGTAAAGCTCAAGGTCATCCCATGTTTGACTTACACATTTGGCAGCCTATTAATTAAAAACTCTCTTTCTACAAGACTTTTACAGATATGCACTTCTATAGATTACTTGGTCTAGAATCATTCCAGAAAACAGAAATATCTTGGTAATATAGACAATTTAATGTCTTAATGTTTCTGTTTGAATTATGACCTGGCTAGTTTATGTCAACTTGACACAAGCTAGTTAGAATCATCTGAGGAGGGAACCTCAACTGAGAAAATGCCTCCACAAGATGGAGTTATAGACAAGCAAACCTGCTGGGGATTTTCTTAATTGGTGATCCATGAGCAGCCCATTATGGGCTGGGCCACTCCTGGGCCAGTGGTGGGTTCTTATAAGAAAGCAGGCTGCTGGTTAGTACTGATGGCATACACCTTTAATCCCAGCACTCAGGAGGCAGAGGAAGTGGATTTCTGCGAGTTGGAAGCCAGCTTGGTCTACAGAGTGAGTTCCAGGACAGTCAGAAATATGCAGAGAAACTGTCTGGAAAAAACAGAAGGCTAAGCAAGCCATGTGAAGCAAGCAAGTACAGAGCGTCACTCCATGGTCTCCATCAGCTCCTGCCTTGACTACTTTCCTGGATGATGAACTATGAATCAAAGTATAAGCAAAATAAACCCTTTCTTTCCAAGCTGCTTTTGGTCCTGGTGTTTCATCACAATAACCTTAACTAAGACATATTGTAAAGGTAGGTGTGTGTGTGTGTGTGTGTGTGTGTGTGTGTGTGTGTGTGTGTTGGTTGAGGTTATGTTCGAGGGAGGGAAGAGGCATCACTGAACTGGAGTTATAGATTATGAGCCACCAGAAATGGGTACTGGGAATTGAACTCAACTTTGCAAGTGCTCTTAACTTCTGCTGTCTCTCTTGCCCTTGCAACATTTTTTACAAATCAGAAGTTTAAGTTCCTAAAGCAAATATTTAAAACCCAACATTACCTGTTCTAGTAGTGCTGTATGCCTTTCCAGAGCTACACAACCATTTTCTTTAATTTGATCTGAAGCTTTCATGAGCTTAACATTTTCTTTGTTTTCTGAAAACATCTTCTTTTGATTATGGCCTTGGGGAGATAGAAACATTACAAGGTAAAACTATTCCTTCTTAAGAAGGAAATAAAAACTCTAATTAGAAAAACTAAAATATGGCAACAGTACTACTTAAAAATTTTTTAATTAGTAATTTTTTTTAGCTAGGTATGATGGCTAATGCCTTTAATCCCAGAATTCAGGAGGTAACGGCAGATAAGATCTTTCTTTGTAGGTTCATAGTCAGACTCTATCTTAAAATACATATATTTAAAGTAAAGGTAACTACATAAAAACATTTTCATAAAATATTCTTTAAAAAAGAAATTTTGGATAGTACTCTGGTCTCAGATATAAACCCTTTCCAATCTTGTTTCACAGGGATAACCACTGGGAAGGAGGCATACAGTTCAAATTACAGCATTTGGGAAGTGGCAAGAGAATCAAGAATTCAAAGCCTTTCAAAAACCTTTCAAACACATAAGCAAAACACAAAACAAAACCCTAAATAAACTGTATAATAAGCCGCTCTATATAGTCACTAAAAGAACCCATACTTTGATGAAGTTATTCAGCAATTTAAATTATATTTAAGATGATTATGGAGTCTAAACATAAACAAAAGATTTATTTTAAAAAAATTTATTTATTTATTATGTATACAATATTCTGTCTGCGTGTATGCCTGAAGGCCAGAAGAGGGCACCAGACCTCATTACAGATGGTTGTGAGCCACCATGTGGTTGCTGGGAATTGAACTGAGGACCTTTGGAAGAGCAGGCAATACTCTTAACCACTGAACCATCTCTCCAGCCCCATAAACAAAAGATTCTACGTAGTGGGTTCATGTGTACGTGTACACGTGCGTGTGCGTGTGTGAATGCCATGACAGAGTGTGGAAGTCAGAGGACTTGTGTGTGAAGACATTTCTCTCCTTCCACATTTATGTGGGTCCCAGGCAACCAGGCTTTTAAGAGAGCACCTTTATCTGCTGATACATCTTGCTGGCCCTAATCAGCATTTTAGTCAACCAACATAAAAATCCTAATTCAAATGGTATTTGTTATTTAATTATTTTGTCTCCAGCACTTCTTTTTAATTAGTTGTTTTCTCTCCAGGTAGCACTCTGCAGTTAGGCATATACATAGACACACGTATATGAATTAACTGCATCAAGCATCTGTTATTTGGCATATGATCTAAAAATCAATTTTATGGAAATAGACTCACCAATAACTTAATGTACCTGTTCTCTAGGGGGACTTACAAAGCTCCACCTCCCAAGGAGCTATTGGCAGTTAATGTTCAGAGAAGGAGAGGGAGACGTTTAATTTATTGGTGCATCCACTAGCAAGATACACGTTACTTTAAGAAACACTCATTAAATTAATTGGGTGACAACAAGCAAACACAGAAGAGGGATTACTTGGTTTCAACCCTTTCCCACTTGCTGGGCTGGGAATCATCAAGAGGATAAGAGATGGTAATGGGGTAGAGAGCAAATATGTCTGTCCAAAGAACTTCATGCATGTATGAAAATGTCAAAATGAGATCCATTATGTATAATTAATGTTAATAAAAATCTACAAAAAAATTTAAAATAACAAGAGATATAGCTAAAATGAGCCATCTTCCATAAATTTCCTTTTCTGAAGTTTCATGGGAAAGTTTTTTTGGGTAACATTTCATTTTCCTTTTGATATGTTAGATATCATTAAATTAAATCAAGTTTGACCTAAGGCTCCCTGCATACTTCTTTGTAGTTTGGCTTCAACTTACTTTATTTTTTTTTTCAACTTTATTTCTGTATGTGGTAAATTACAATTTTAACTTGATGTGTAAAACAGACTGCAGTTTACTGTTTTTGGCATGTATGTTTATGTATCATCAATGTTATGTATGTATGTGCCTGATACCCTGGGATCTGATCTTCTAGAACTGGAGTTATTGGTTGTGAGCCAATATATGGATGCTGGGAATCAAATCGAGGTTCTCCAGAAAAGCAAACAGTGCTCTCAACCACTAAGCAATTTCTCTAGCCTCTGTAACATACTTTTATGGAAACAAACTTTCTTTTTTTTTTTTTTGGTTTTTCGAGACAGGGTTTCTCTGTGGTTTTGGAGCCTGTCCTGGAACTAGCTCTTGTAGACCAGGCTGGTCTCGAACTCACTGCCTACCTCTGCCTCCCGAGTGCTGGGATTAAAGGCATGAGCCACCACCGCCCGGCATGGAAACAAACTTTCAAAACACAAAGATGTCTAAATGATCAAGTAAAACAAACACACACTAACTAACCAATCAGGTTGCCTCTTTTCTGTATCTAACTTCCTTTTCTTTAGCTATACTTTTAAGCTCCCCATGTGATAGGAGGTTTATTGTTGTTTAGATACAGGGTCTCATGTAGCCTAGAGTGGTCTCAAATTTGCTTTGTACACGAAGATGACCTTGAACTTCTGATCTTTCTGTCTCTACCTGTTTAGTGCTCTGGATTACAGGCATGCATGAACCACAATGTAGTTTTATGTGCTAGGGACTGAACCCATAGCTTCATGCATACTAGGCAGGCACTCTACCAATTGAGCTACACATACTTCCAGCCTCAGAAAAGAGCTCGTATGAACAATATTTGGTCCTGCCTGTTGACCAGTTCTAACACTGCAAATAAAGCCAAGTGATCAATCATAACTTTCCCCTTTAACAATGTATCTTTCCATCTCAGAATCAAGAACAATTTACGAACAAAACAGTTTGAAAACATGGGCATCATTTACTTTTTGTCCTATCCATATGTACTCCACTTTGTTTGAGACTTTAAAAGACCCCTTAGGAAAAGTGACTATTTGAATTTCTCCAAAAGACAGAGGAATACACTTACTTTACTACCATCAAGGCCAAGTAACGACTGCCACTTGAGTATGCCCTTCACACTTTAAACGGCCAGAGTGACAGGTCCTACTGCATTCTTCAGTTTTCAAGATGGCAACAGCACAATTACCAGAGCAGACAGAATTCACCTAGTTAGGTGCTTAGATTCAGCACACGAGTGTGAACTTAAATATCTAATTTTGATCGTTAGCCTATAAAGTAAAACTTGATTCTAAACTGAAAGCTATCTTGTTGATTTGATTCCCTTGCCATCCAAAGTATTCTAGGTTAGTGCACTTAAATTTAACTGAGAGCCATCAACTTTTTAGTATAAAATCATTGTAATTCTATTTATGTTCAGAAAATGATCTTCATACATTAAACTCCAGTTTAAAATGAGTTTCAGAAGTGTTCTGCAACTCTGTTGCCGCTTGTGTGGAATATTTGCTGTAGGAATCAGTAGATGTCTTGGTTTTGTGTAAAAACACACAACCTGTTCATCAGTGGTTCTTGATCTTATTTCTGAAACAATTTCTTCTACTGCATTAATTAAATTCTAGAAGAATGGTATACTTTTCTGTGAAAATACTGAATTATCCTGAGGGGCAAATGAGGAATCAGCATTTTTAGAATGTGGACACTTGCTAGCTTTAAGTTCAGGACGTAGTCTCTGATTACCATTTTCAACAGTTCCAACTGTTGATTTTGAAGCTTCAAGATTCTTTGACATGTTCAGGATCTCCAACTGCTTCCGGCAACTTGCAGGCATTGTTTTTTTGGCCTTTAAAACTTTCTGTCTTTTTCTTTCTGGACTTTCCATATTTTGTATCCTAAAATTTAAGATATTTAACATTATACTTTGCCTCAAAGAAACAGATTTAAATGCATTTTCCAAGTTAAACAGTTATCCTATTAAAATAACACTCAGAATATCTCTCCATATTAATTACTTTTTTTTTTTGTTGTTTGTTTTTTTTGTTTTTCGAGACAGGGTTTCTCTGTGGCTTTGGAGCCTGTCCTGGAACTAGCTCTTGTAGACCAGGCTGGTCTCGAACTCACAGAGATCCGCCTGCCTCTGCCTCCCAAGTGCTGGGATTAAAGGCGTGCGCCACCACCGCCCGGCCATATTAATTACTTTTATGTGGAAGTTATATTCTAAACAGAAATAATTACAGTCAAGATTTTAAACAGGTCATACTATAATGAAGACAGTGATATCAACAGGACAGGCTCAAAATCAGAAAGAGCCTCACATACGACCATTTGACTTGTCTCAAAAGTATTATCTGGACAAAGGAGAATAAGACTGGTATTATTAATATAATGATATTTCAGGTATTTTAGATAGGTACATGGAGAAAAACATACTTTAATCTTTACCTCACACCTTATCTTAAAAACAATTCTAAAATAATAGGTAATAGAAACAATAGCAAAGTAACACTTTGTAAACGTGAATGGTGAGGGTTTTTGGAAGAAAACCAGACATCTCTTTAAAGTGGGCAAGTCTTGTTTCTGTAGAAAACTCTAAGGCATAAATAAATATAATGTGTCCATATATTCACTAAAAATCAAGTATATGGAGAAAGTTGATAAAGAGAAAAGCAGGAAAACAGTGGACATGTCTACTTCTTTCCCCAGTAGGAAAGAAGCCTCAGGCACAGAACAAGTAGACATGGTGACACCAGACTGGCAGTATTAGCTACAGGAGAAACCTACAGGATAGACTGGCTGAGAGAGTCAGAATCCTCCTGTCTCTCTTCTCCAATCTGGGATTACAAGCATGCACCACCACTCCCATCATTTTAACAAGGGTCTAGGAGTTGAACTCAGATCCTGGGAAAAAGATAGCAACTGAGCCATTCCTCCTGCCTTGTACTGTTTTCTGATACTATTATACATGAGCTCTTAACATCTTTTTTTGGACTTTTCATTTAAAGTCCTATGTTCCATGATGAATGGGGTTATATCCTGATGTAGGTGGGTCTTCTATCTATCTGTTGCTTTTATTGGTTAATTAATAAAGAAAACTGCTTGGCCTGATAGGGCAGAACTTAGATAGGCAGAATAGACAGAACAGAATTCTGGGAGAAAGAAAGCTGAGTCAAGCAGCCGCCATGCCTCTCCTCTCTGAGACAGAGGCAGGTTAAAATCCTTCCCGCTAAGCCACCACCTCGTGGTGCTACACTCATTAATAGAAATGGGTTAATCAAGATGTGAGAGATAGCCAGTAAGAGGCTAGAGCTAATGGGTCATGCAGTGTTTAAAAGAATAGAGTTTCCGTGTAATTATTTTGGGTAAAGCTAGCCAGTGGCCGGGAGCTGAGCGGTGGGAAGCGGCCCACAGCTCCTACTACAATACCCTGATAAACCCAAGTTGAAATGCACTTAACACCCCAAATAAATTCACTTTTAAAGCTGCCATTTTGTTGTTGTTTTGTTTCATTTTTTGACTTTTTCAAACAGGGACTAATCTAGTCAAATTGGCCTTGAACTCGCTATGGAGCTGATTCTTGAACTTCCTGCCTCTATCTCCTCAATTCTGAGACTCCAGATATTTATTAGACATTCAGTTTCAGGAGATGCCAGGAATCAAACCCAGGGTTTCCAATGTGTTACCATGCTAGATGAAAGCTGAAAGACATAAGTCCAACAGACCCAGTGTAAATTTTAAAAAGATTTGAGTTCAATCAAATGAACTACAGACCGAAAGACATTTTCATATGCTAATCTTGTATCTTAACTTTGATGATCTTGATTTGATCTTCAATCATTTTTATGTATTTCTTACAATTTTGTATTTACTTATTTTGGAAAGACTAATTTTTTTTCATTCTTTCTAATCTCTATACTTTTAGTTTACTTTCATATCTAACTCTCCACCCAAGATCCATTGGTACAATGATGAACGAGAGGCATCTCACTGTGTTCCTGATGTAGAAAAACTTTTAGCTCCTCATCATAAGGTATCATGTTATCACAGATGTTTAACAGATTAAGATATAAGTATTTCTTTTAACTCATTAAATGGTGTTGCAGACTGATGATAAAATGCAGCTTGTAGAGTGCTTGCCTATTCTGTACACAGCCTCAACTTTAACCCCCAGCACTGCATAAAATCCAAGCATGGTGACACAGGCCTCTAATTCCAACATTTAGAAACAAAGGAAGGAAGAATAATCAGAACTTTGTTATCCTTAGTTACATAACCAGTTTGAAATCAACAAGGGCTCCATTACCCCAGGTGGGCTGGAGAGATGGCTCAGAGGTCCTGAGTTCAATTCCTAGCAACCACATGGTAGCTCATATCCATCTATACTGGGATCCAATGCCCTCTTCTGGCACGAAGACTTAAATGCAAACAGAGAACTCATTTTTAAAAAAAAGAAAAGAAAAGCAACAAAAACAGCTAAGTGGTGGTTTGAACAAGATAGCCCCCATATGCTCATCTTTTTGAATACTTGGTCCCCAGTTGGTGGAAATGTTATATATCCCTGAGGAGACATGTTACTGGAGATGAGCTTTGGGGTTTCAAAAGTCCAAGATATTCCCAGGTAGCCCTCTCTGTCTCTTCTAGTGCAATACCTGCCTGCAGGCTCCCATGCTTCCCCACCACGATGGTCATAAACTCTAAACCTCTGAAACCGTAAGCCCCAAATAAACATTTATTTTGTAAAGTGCCATGGTTATTGTTTCTTACCATAGCAACTGAGAAGTAACTAAGAAAAGTTGGTATCAGGAGTGGGGTATTCATGATATAGACCTGATCATGCTGCTCTTTGGAGGACTTTCGACCAAGAATGCAGACGAATGCTATAAGTGGGGCTTAACAGACTATCCTAGTAGAATCTTGGAAGACAGTAGTGCTGAGACCAATGTGGGCTACTAGAGGTTCAGATAATGAGGTTTCAGAGCAATATTAGCAACTGAACCAGAGATCATACCTGTGATACTTTGGCAAAAAATGTGGCTGCTTTTTGTCCATGTCCTAAGAATCTGGCTTGGCTGGCTGGGTGGTGGTGGTCCACATCTTTAATCCCAGCACTCAGGAGGCAGAGGCTGGCAGATCTCTGTGAGTTCGAGGCCAGCCTGGTATACCAGAGCTAGTTGCAGTGCAGGCTGCAGGCTCTGAAGCTACAGAGAAACCCTGTCCCGCAAAAAAAACAAAAAACAAAAAACAAACGAATCTGTCTGAGCCAAAACTGAAAAGCTCCTTGGCAGAGGCTATTCCATGACAGCTTAACACTAACTGTTGAATGGCTATTAGTAATCAATCGTACACAGGTTCACAATGAAAAAGTACAAAGATAGCAATATATTATGAATAATAATAAAAAAAGAGTACCAGGAAATTCAATTTTGGAGCCAAGGCTTGATTCAAAGATACAAGGTCTGCTGTGAAATGTAATGAAGGGAATACGCTCTCTACAGGGTAAGACCCTATCCATAAAATCTTGCAACTTGTAAAAGGAAAAGGCCTTTAGCTTTTTTTCTGCTCCTAAAAAACAACAACAAACCAAAGTTCATGTAAAGTAATTTAAGGGCACCATGATTCATCTCAAGGAGGCAACTTAACCTGGCAGTGTTGACCATGCGGTTCTGACTTTAGAGTAATGAAGGAAACAGGAGATAAGGGGTGCAGAGGTTTGAAAGAAAGAAAATGGCCCCAATAGGCCACAGGAAATGACACTTTTTTTTTTGAGTTAGTGTCTCATGTAGCCCAGGGTTTGCCTACAACTGTTTAGTGGAACTCAGAACCATCCTGCCTCCGCCTCCTTATATACTAGAATTATAATCTTACCCCATTACACAGCATTTATGTTCAATTTGTGCAAGATACTACCAATAAAAGCTTTCTTTTTGTGTGTGTGTGTGTGGTTTTTTTCGAGACAGGGTTTCTCTGTGGTTTTGGAGCCTGTCCTGGAACTAGCTCTTGTAGACCAAGCTGGTCTCGAACTCACAGAGATCCGCCTGCCTCTGCCTCCCGAGTGCTGGGATTAAAGGCGTGTGCCACCACCGCCCGGCCAATAAAAGCTTTCTAATATATCATCATGTAGTACTGTATAAGTTTCTTCCCACACAGAAACACTCCATTCTGCAGGAAAGCTCCATTAAGTAGTAAACAACTGTTTTAAGAAGTAAACAAAATAGCTTCAGAAATTCCCAGAAACTATCCAGATCTCTGGGATCCTCCCTGCCAGGATAATAAAAGCAGGGAGTCCCTCCAGAACAAGCCAAACGGAGCTGCAAAGAAGATAAGACCAGACCAGCTTCCTGGAATAAACAAAAACCAGGTGAGCTGCCTAGAAGAGGTGTACACCAACTGTGGCACCTGGAAAAGCCACTCTTAAACATGTTGAGCTGCCTGCAGGGTATATAGTGAGTTCCAGGTTTCCATGCTGGTGTAGACTTTGGTGATGCAGCTGTCTTTGAATCATTTCTATTATATGCAACCCATTACCCATATTCCTGTAACTAACCCCATTAAATCTCATTGGTTCACCAAACTGGACTTTGGTGGTATTCATAGTTTTATCTGTCATGAGTTCCCTATCTGGGTTGACTGAACATATATATTGTCTCTGCAGGAAAGGTTTCTGTTGGAACCTCTGGCTCACTTATACATGGTCTGAGAAGCCCCATCTCTCTCTCTTCAAATACTACCCTCTCAGAAAATCTCCAACCAAGGCACCAAAAAGCCAAGTACCACATTCTTGGAGGCTGCAGTAGCTCCTCCCATGAAGTTGCCAGCCCAAGTCTCCACCCAGTGTCCAGGTTTTGGCCATACTTGGAAAAACCTATTTTGTCTTACATTATGTGGTAAATGTACACCCATATGGCCCAAAAAGATGTTCTTAACTGTGTTATTCATGAACTTCTAACTGTGAAGTGAAATACCAAGTCTAGATTTGTGTTCCTATTTTAATTTTTATATTAAAATTTAAATAGCTCACGTGTATGTGCCTGATTATATGTATGTACATCATGTATATGTAATACCAATGGAAGCCAGTAAAGAACATTTGATCCCTTGAACTGAAGTTGATCCCTTGGGACAACAGGTAAAATGTATCATGTGGATGCTGGAAACCAAACCCAAATTTGCAAGAACACAGAGTTCTCTTAACCACCAAGCCATCTTTCCAGTCCCTAAAAGTACACTGATTTATCTGTTTATTTGATGTGTGTGTGCCATGCCGTGAGTCCAGTACTGTGAGTACATCTTGTGGTACCCTCCTACTATGTGGATTCTAGGAATTAAACTCCATCTGCTGAGTTATCTTCTTCAAATGTATTTTTAAATTCTTACTATTATTAGTTTTGCTATTAAAACAGTAAGTCTTTACTATTCAGTTTTACCTTTGAAAAGTAAAAACTTTAAGATGTTGAAGTTCAGAACTAATATTTAAAGCAGAGTCTTAAAGCTATAGGCTATTACAGCACCAATCAGGTAAATACTATTGAAGAAACAGGATTGCTTTAGTAGGTAAAAAATTGTCAACAAGATAGCAAAAGCTCTTCTTAGAGACCAAGTTATGGCAGGTGGTAACCAGCTTTGTGAGCACTGTACTGCTCCTTACAACAAAGTCTGGTCCAAGGACATCATACGGCATCATGACCATGTGAGCACCAGCAGACCTTTGCCTTTACTTTTATATTCATCAATGCAAGAGTATGAAAGGAATACAAAATGTTCATATAAAATAAGTTACTTTCCAGCACTCCTTAATGTCTGATGACAGTCATTTTAAACTAATTTTAAGATTTTGTTTGGGGCCTAAGTATGGTGGTTCAGGCCTTCATTTAGTCCCAGCACTCAGGAGACAGAAGTAGGTAAATCTCTGCGAGTTAGAAACCAGTCTGGTCTCCATACCAAGTTCCACGTTAGCCAGGACTCCAAAGAGAGAGCCTGTCTTTTAAGGAATTTTTTTTTCTAATGAGGTCACCAAACATGCCCTAGTGTGTGTGGGGGGGGTGGGGCGCAGAGGTCAGAGGACAACTTGTGGGAGTTGATCCTTTCCTTCAATCATGTAGATCCAAGGGATGTAAGTGAGGATTCAAGGCTGGGCAACAAGTACCCATGGTGCTATCTTGCCAGCCTTATGTTTTTTACCTTTGTATGAGTGTATATGTTTGTTCAAATTTTGGAGGTTAACTGAGCATCTTCCTGTGTCACTCTCCATAAATATTAAGGCAAAGTTTCTCAATGAATTTGGAGCTCACCAATTTGGCTAGTCTTATTTGTCAGCTTGCTCCCAGAAGCCCATCTGAGCTTCCCAAGTGCTGGGATTATAGGAACATCCCCACACTGGACCTGACATTTACTGGAGCTCTGACTTCAGTTCTTCATGCTTCTAAGTGCTTTACCCACTGAGCCACCTTTTCATCCTCTAAAGCTGTATGCATAAATGTATGTATGTATTGGCTTTTCAAGGCAGGGTTTCTCTATCTAGTCCTACCTGGTCTGGCATTCACTCTGTAGATTAGATAAGCCTGGAACTCAAAGATCTGCCTGCCTCTGTCTCTAGTGCTGGGATTAAAGGCATGTACCATTACCACGACCCAGCTATTTTATTTATTTACAACCCTGGCTGGCTAGGAACTCACCATGTAAATCAGGATGGCTTTCAATTCAGAGATCTGACTGCCCAGGTACTATGTTTAAAGATGAATATCACTACATCTGGCCAGTGAATCTGTCATTTATTTATTCAGATTTTGAGACAGGGTTTCTCTCTGTATAGCTCTGGCCATCCTGGAACTCAGTCTGTAGACCAGGATGGCCCCACTCTCACAGAAAACCACTTGCCTCTGCCTGGGATTTGCCACCACCTCTTGGCAAATCTTCAATTCTAAGCAAATTGCCATTCACATTTCTTGAGCTACAATTTCAGCCATATCTATTTAATTTCTCATACAATTGACCCTTCATATACCGGTAAGTGTCACATCCACATCTTTCACAGTAAAGAATTTGGGGTATGAATAAGACCACTGCTGATAACAGAATACTTCTGAGTATCATAGAGAGGCTCATTAGTTTTGTTCCTGTATCTTGTATTTTTATGAGATAAGACTTCATGTATGCAAGACTACCATAGAACTTGTGGCAGCTCTGGTACAACCACCTAAGTCCTGGTATTAAGAGGCATGAGTCACCACTCATGGGACAATCACATTATTTGGAGGATTTTTTTTTGTTTGCTTTTGAAACGTCTTACTATGTATCCCTGGCTGGCCTGGAACTTGGTAAGTAGACCAGGCCTGCTTGGAACTCAGAGATATATCCGCCTCTGCCTCCCAAGTGCTAGAATGAAAAGTATGCAACGCCACACAGGGTCCACAATTAAAACCAATTTTTTTTCCTACCTTTGGTTGACTGGAGAAAAAAAGAAATGGAGTACTACAACAATCCTTAACAATTTACCATGGCTATCTAAAGCTTTTTCACAGCAGCACTGAGCAGATCAGTGCCTCAGTTAGAGGTATACTAATGGAAATTACACTTAGTAGAAGAATGAGGGCTCTACCCAGCTGGTGGCTAGGTTTAGAGCCATAAGCCACACTCACACTTGTAACTGCTCAGATTCAAAACTTAAAACTGTATCTGAGCCGGGCGGTGGTGGCTCAGGCCTTTAATCCCAGCACTTGGGAGGCAGAGGCAGGCGGATCTCTATGAGTTCGAGGCCAGCCTGGACTACAAAGGGAGTTCCAGGACAAGCTCCAAAGCTACAGAGAAACCCTGTCTCGAAAAAACAAAAAACAAAACAAAAAAAAACTGTATCTGATTATCTTCTCTCTTTTTTATACACTGGGCATTGAATCCATGGTTTCATTTATGCTAGCACTAAGCTACGTCCTCGGCTCTTTTTCTAGTCTGAGAAAAGGCCTCACTATGATGCCCAAGCTGTCCTTGAACCAACTCTGTATTTCCCAGGCAGGCCTTTAAATTGTTATCCTACTAGCTGACCTGCAACACAGCCCTAAATGCTGTAAAACTCAATGTTTTCTCTTTACACTGTGTTTAAATGCAGAATGATTTACCTATAAAGATAAAAAAGAATTATCCAAATCTATTGTTATGTATGTTATAGTATGGGTCCGGGCTTAACTCTCAGAGAATAACATAACTCAGTAGGTAAAAAACTTGCCATGAAAGCCTGATCCAGGGAATCCGCCTATGGATATAATTCCCACACAAATACAATAATAATTTTATTATTATGAATATAACAGAGAACTATGGTATAAACACAAACAGATCAAGGGACTATTACGTTTCATAACAAAATTCAAAATATTAAGTAAGAAAATATAGTGGAATTCAAGGCTGACATTAAGTACACGGTCACGCAAAGCCAAAAAAATTCAAGAGTTAGCTAGATTGCACTAGCTGCTACAATTTTTTTAAATGCACTGCTTACATATTTCTGCTGTGGTAGAAGTTAATCTTAGGGTGCAGGTGATCTGTATCTATACTGTTATGGAGACTAATTTGATTAAGGTTAGATTCAACCTTTCTAAAAAAGTTGAGGGATAAGCAAGATAATTTAAAAGGCAACATTCACAAGACTTAAATTCAGTTATTTAATGAATCCTTCATTTCATCCCTTTTCATATTTTATTTATTCATTTATTAAGACAGGCTCTCACTGGCTGGCCTTGAAACTCACAAGTCATCCTGCCTCTGCTTCCCAAGTACTAGGATCTAAATCAAGTCCCACAGCAGACAGAGGTCAGTTTTCTTAAGAATTTTAAACAGAGAGAGGCCATTGTTTCCTGTGCTGAGGCACATTCTTTAACTTGTTTGCCAAACTGGAAAAAGATGGAGAATAAGCGATTGCTAATTTTTTTCTTTTTCAGGCACCACAAAAATAAATAAATAAATAAATCGACCTCTACCTGACTGGAGTTCAGGTGCCGGTGAACGTTGCAGCTGACGTTAACTGGGCTAAACTGGTTACTGGAGACCAACCCTGGATTCCTAAGCCAAGTGTCCTTGACCTTAAGGTTAGGAGGACAGCCGGGGGCTCCACCAAGACCAGACAGCCCTGCCTGAGGTGAACAAAGGCCTCACGCCGCGACCCACTCGGGGACGGGGTCTTTCCTCAGGTACCCCACACACCCGGAAGAGCGAGCCCCCGGCGCCAGGCTCAGCGGCGGCACCTGCGTCGCCATCTGTGCACCTGCCGAGCGGTTGCAGACGTTGGCAGCGGCTGCCCCCACAGCTCACCTGCGGGACGCGAGGCACGCAGGCTCCCGGCAGAGGCCGTCCCGCCGGGCCGCGGCGACACTTCCCCACTCGCCGGCGCTCCCGGCTCCTCCGCCCGGGGCCGAACCGTTCGCTCCGGGTCGCGTCCGGCCCGGGATTCACGCGCCGCCATGAAGCCGGCCACTCCTCCAACCGCCGCCCGCCCGCCCGCCCGCGGCCAGCCCGGAGCCACCGCTGCCCGCGACCACCTACCTAGCGCGGCGCCGCTTGCGGCCGCCCTCACAAAACAGCGGACCAGCTCCGCAGACGAAATGACCAGAGGACCGGTTGCAGCCAAACTAAATCTCCCTCCCTCCGCCCCCGGGCCGCCACAAACCAATGGAAGCGCGAAGGGCGAGAGCGCAGCCAATCGGGGCGACGATGGGCGGGGAACACAGCGGCAAAGGAAAAAGTAAAAAAGCAGGCGAACGGGCGAGCCGGGCTAGCCGGGAGGGCGGATTGGCAAGTCTTGGATGGTGTTTAGGAAACTATTACTAATAAGACTTTGTTCCCAAAAACAAACCCCGGAGAAAAAGGGTTATAAATTCCAATTGTGAAAAATCTGCTGGGTTAGAACCCGGAATGGCGTTCGGCCAGTGACCTTTACTGGAGTCCTGTGGAGCCTCTGAAGAGAAGGGGCTGAGAAACCATGAAAAAATAGTATTTCTCATCACTATCACCAGATGTGCTCTGGACACAGAAGGTCTCTTGGACAATAGGGGCAGTTTGCAAAATGTCCTTGAGCGGCTAAGCTGCGTTGCTGAGGTAGAGAAGGACCATCGCGCCGCCATTCCTCCTCCACAGGCTGCCCACAGTCTGGCAGTATGGAAAAGTCTGTTGTTTACACTCTACACATGGTGACCCACTCCCCTAATCCCAGCAAGCCTGAGGCAGGGGCTGGTGGATCTGTGCGAGGATAAAGGCAAACCTGAATGAACTCCAGGCCCACCAATCTCTAAATAAATAAATAAATATCGCATTACAGTAGTATGTCTCCTTATTACTGAATTTTCAGATGTTAAACCCTATAACGTTTGCCGCGTCGAGTGGTCCTGTGGCACGAAGAGATGACTCAGAGGTTTAGAGCACGTGCCCTCATGCAGAGAATTCAGATCCAGCACCCCACAACAGGCTCACAACTGCCTATAATTCCAATTACAAGGGATTCAACACCCTCTGGCTTCTGAGGTCGTTTGCCTGCATGTGATGCACATAAATTCATGGAGGGACACTCACATATTTAAATACATATATATTTAAAAAAAAATATGGCCCTGCTATAAAGAACTTAGAGACCATTGTGTGTGCTGCAACAAGCCAGGTTTGGCCACTCATCCTCAATGAGCCAAATGCTTATAGAAAAACAGAAAAATATTTATTCAATATGGCCACATTGGGAGGAGGGACAGACAGATTCTGAAACTTCCCCAAGCCAGTCTTCAGGGTATAATGAGGATGTGGCTGTTAGCTCAGCTTGATCTGTGAGATAAGCAAGAAATTGACTGTCTTGGGAAAGCCAGAGGGGGCTTGGAGAGATGACTCAGCAGTTAAAAGCTCTTCCAGAGATCCTGAGTTCAATTCCCAGCAACCACATGGTGGCTCACAACCATCTGTAATGAGATCTGGTGCCCTCTTCTGACCTGCAGGCATACATGCAGACAGAACAGTATATGCATAATAAACAAACAAACAAATCTTAAGAAAGAAAGAGAGAGAAAGGAAGGAAGGGGGGCTGGAGAGATGGCTCAGTGGTTAAGAGCATTGCCTGCTCCTCCAAAGGTCCTGAGTTCAATTCCCAGCAACCACATGGTGGCTCACAACCATCTGTAATGAGATCTGGTGGCCTCTTCAGGCATACATATAGACAGAATATTGTATACATAATAAATAAATTTAAAAAAAAATGAAAGGAAGGAAGGGAAGGAGGGAGGGAGGGAGGGAGAGAGGGAGGGAAGAAGGAAAGCCAGAGGATGATCTTCTGTCAGGATGAGAGAGGAAACCCCAAGTTGGGAGTCTGCCCAGGGCATGCTGGGTCCTTGTACTTTTCATATTGTCTCCCCTAGATGTGTATTGCTAAGCAGGCCCTTTTCTTCTCACTGCCTTTCCCCTGAGAAAGACCTTAGGAAGCATGTCCCAGACCATCTTGGAAATTCTCCACTTTTATTACCTAGTCATGGCCTGTCACCCAATCTGCCTGCCTATCAGGGAGTCTGCCTAACTGTTAGTCTCCCCATAGAGTTAAATAGAAACATTCTGGCCATGGTAGTCTCAGCTCCAACGACTGGTGGAAGAGCATTTGACAATTGTGTTTCTTCAGGAGACAAGCTCCTTTTCTGGATGCCCCCAGAGCTTCAGTTGTTTCTATCCCTGCACATTCCTGAGGTTCTAATTTCTTGGGTTCCATAATTTCATGTGGTGAGAGAGTCAAAGACTGTAGCTTCAGAGTCTCTGTAGACAGGCTGGCCACAGTCCTAGTGCCCAAATATCTGTCATGCTAGGCAGAGTCACATTTGGTGAAGCTTGGTGCTTAACACTGTCCTCTTGGGGAAGGGACATGCCCTTGTGGCCCTTGTGGCCTGTTGCCATATTGTTGTATAAGAGTTACTTCAGATATTGAAAGAAGGTAAACAAATCAAATAGTTTTAGGAAGTCCCTGAAACTGACCAGATTTACTAGGCCCCGCCCTACCAGAATAAACAATAAAAGCTGAGAGTCCCTCAGAGACTCACTGAACATAACTGCAAAGACTCAAAACACAGAGCTGCAGCTCAGCTATTACAAATATAAGTATTACCACCACCCTCTTACAGCCATGCCTACTTCTATTATCCCCTACAGACTACCTATTTTGGTTATCTCATACATAACTGATGCTCAGTAAAGTTCTATTGGCCTTCCAAAGGACCTTAGTTACTTCTGAACACCCATGTACAGCTCTACAGACTGTAATTAATTCAGCATTAAGTGATACAACAGAAATAAAGTGTGGTGGTTTAAGAATGCCCTCCTATAGTTGAATGATTTAGTCACCAGGGAGTGAACATTTTGATAGGTTTAGAAGGAGTAAGAGGTATGGCCTTACTGAAGGAAGTGTGTCACTGGAGGTGGGCTTTGATATTCCAAAAGCCCATGGCAGACCCAGGTCTGTTGTCTGCCTATAGATCAGGATATAAAACTCTCAGCTACTGCTCCATGCCTGTCTTCTTCCCATGATGATCATGGACTCACCCTCAGAAACTGTAAGCAAGCCCCCAATTAAATGCTTCCTTTTGTCCTTTTTTTTTTTTTTTTTGGTTTTTTTCGAGACAAAGTTTCTCTGCAGCTTTGGAGCCTGTCCTGGAACTAGCTCTTGTAGACCAGGCTGGTCTCGAACTCACAGAGATCCGCCTGCCTCTGCCTCCTGAGTGCTGGGATTAAAGGCATGAGCCACCACTGCCCAGCTAAATGCTTCCTTTTGTAAGAGTTGCCTTGGTCATGTCTTTTTCACAACAGCTGAACAGTGACTAACACATTGTATGATTATTATTATTATATTAAATTATAATTTCATGTTCCAGCAGTAACTTATGTTACCAGCTTACAAAGGCTTGTATGAATAATACATTAAATGATAGGATAGAAATAAAGTATGACTTATGGTTAATTTTATGCTAACAAGATTATAGTGTCCAGATACTATTATGGAAGTATTATATAGACTTACAACCTATGGTCATCATCTCTTCTGACATCAAAAGGTGGTCCTCAATAATGTGAGTGACACTCAACCAATCAATTCAAGGCTTTCAGGACAGAAACAGTTTCCCCAGAGAAGTGCGATATGGGATTCTCCTCTGTCTTATTGCCATTGGTTATAAAAGAAGGTGGCCAATGGCTAAGTAAAGCCAGCTAGGAAATCTGAACAGAGATATGGAGAGAGAGTAGGTAGAGTCAGAGATGCCATGTAGCTGCTGAAGGAGAAAGACGCCAGCCAGAAACTTACTCGTAGGCTACAGCCTCATGGTGACTCACAGATTAATAGAAATAGGTTGATTTAAGATGTACGAGTTAGCTAGAAAGATGCATAAGCTATTGGCCAGTGTTGTAATTAATATAGTTTCTCTGTGATTATTCATGGGCGGGTGGCCAGGAAAAGAATGAGCAGTCTCCTCTTACAGGAGTGGGACTTCTGCTGAGTTTCCAAGTTGCTAGGCTTAGCCAGGCGGTGGTGGCGCACGCCTTTAATCCCAGCACTCGGGAGGCAGAGGCAGGCGGATCTCTGGGAGTTCGAGGCCAGCCTGGTCTACAAGATCTAGCCCCGGGATGGGCACCAAAGCTACAGAGAAACCCCGTCTCGAAAAACAAAAACAAACAAACAAACAAAAAAAGAATCCAAGTTGCTAGGCTGCTGTACAAAGTTCACAAGATCACAGCATCCATTTTTGGTTTTGTATTTTTAGTCTTTTTTTTTTTTTAAGTCAGTGTCTCATTGTGTAGCTCAAACTGTCTTGGAACTCATTGTGTAGACCAGGCTGGCCTCAAATCCACAGAGATACATCCATCTCTGCCTCCCAAGTGCTGGGTTAAAGGTGTGTGCCAGCCACTATACCTAGCTCACAGCATCCATTTGTTTGAATCTGTAAATCTGTAAATTTGACAGTCCCCATAACCACGTAAGCCAATTATTTCTAAGTCTCTTCATATATGAATATATAATATGTAGTATATTTAATCGTGTTTATACGTATGTCCTGTTTTTGTGGGGAACTTTTATTTTTGTGAGGTAGTGGAAGGAGGTGAGTACATGTGCCACATGATACCTGCTCTGGAGTCAGAGAATGGTTTTGTAGAGTTTTAGGGATCCAATTCCGGTCAGGGGGCTTTTGAAATACGTGCCTTTCTTTACTCACTGAGCCATCTCACTAGTACTCTTTGGGGTGTATTGACTGAGAGAATTCTAAGCAGCTAAGTAAAGCTAACTGTCTTTTTATCAAAGGGATAGACTGATCTGAACACTTGCCCTAGATAAACCAGGTATATCAAGAAATACAAGCCTTTATTTAATAACTTGCCATAATGGATCTCTGTATTACAGTGAAATGTTTAATGCTTCTTACTATTCCATATACTGTCCTCCAGGTCTGACATGACTGTTGCCATGCAGAAAAGCCTGTATGACGTGGGGCCAGTTCACAAGGCCAAACTCCTTCTCAAGACACAGTTAATAGTTGACTGGGGAGAACGACTCAGGAGGCCCCTTCCCTTCCTGAA